TTTTTTATAAACCACAAAAATATAACACAAAGTACAGTATGAAGAGAGAGAATGCTACCCTGGCTCAACGCGTCTCCTGGCGTGGAGGACAGGAATGCGAGTGGGGAGGTGGTTATTGCTTGGAGGGAGAGTCCCCCTCCCTGCAGGAAGCCACGACCACGTGTCACAGCAGGGAAAATGGCCACGGATCCTGTTTGTCACCCAATCCGGCGTTCGCGAACAGAAGCAAAATTTTGCGAACGGTGCTATTTGTGACCCAAATTGGTCATGAACAGAAGCGTTTGTGACCTGAGGTACCACTGTAGTTTAATGAGTCAGGATATAATTCAGCTTTTTAAATATTAAACAGAAGTTCCTGGTCTACAGCTAATGGATTCATATATACCAGCATCTCACTGTTTTAGCTCACCTATAAGTGGCGGGATAGAGAGAGACACAATCATAGGATTTATCCAGTTTCATTAACAAAGCTCACAGTTAGCCACATTTATATTATATAGCTCACAGTTAGCCACATTTGGACAGCATCACTTCTAAGCACTTGTACCTACATTTAGATTACAGGATTGTAATGCAACCCAACACTAGAAAAAGTTTCTTTGCTTTGGGGATTAGATTTGTTTTATTAAATGATTTTACACAGTTGTTCAGAATGTTGTTCTAGTAATTTAAGGTAGTATTTTGGGGGTATAACCAGTGTGCTTCTGAATCATAGACAAATGCATAAAAGGTAGAGCTATCAAAGACTACTTGTCTTGATAAATATATAATACCTCAAAAATCAGAAGTATCATGTGTTAAGATATTGTTGCATGGCAACAGAAGAAGATGGTTTGCCCCAAAGTCCCGCTTGCTAGTTTCCTGAGTGTATCTAGTAATGCAGAATTGAGTAATACAGAATACTAGATTAGATCAGGTTCTGGACCTGATACAGATGGTTCTTATTAGGTAAGAACCTAACACATTTATTTGGAATGATAAGCATTACTGGAGAAAGTCAAACCTTTGGTAAAAGAGTGTGGAAATGTATAGTTGACAGATTGCTTATTCTCCTATTCTTTAAACCATTGCAAATTGAAACTTCAGCCATAGGAAAGGACATTTTAGCTATACAGGTAGTCCTCATTTAGAAATTGGGACTGGCAACTTGGTCATTAAGTGAAGTGGTTGCTAAGTGAAAAATCATGTGACTGTGACTGTGCTTACAATTTTACACAGGACAACACATACTAACTGACTGTAATGGCAAACACATGACTAAGACAGAGACGCTGCGAAGGCCGTAAATGCAGGCATCGGTCGCAAAGTTACTTTTTCAGCACCATTGTAACTGTGAACAGTCACTGTCCAAGGCAGTCGCTAGTGAGGACTACCTGTACCTTGCCTTCCATAGTTGGCCAACGGAATCTGAATGTACTAAAGTTGATAATCTGTTCTTTCCTCCTACCAATAGATCTATATCCTTTTGCTCAACATGGGTTTTTATAGAACTCAAGTCTAGTGAGCAAAATCTTAAACACCTGGCCAAAACAAACATGTATGTTAATCAACATTAGAACATGGAAGATAGCATTTGATATTTCTCATACTGCTTCACAATTCCTTACTTATATTTGTATATAATAACTAATAGTATTATTACCATTTGCAGCAACAGTTTATGCGGCAAGATTCACTGTACATCTTTCAAACAAGAGAATCTCCCTTCCCAGTATTTCATCCAAACTCAAGATGGAATTTCATGTGTGTCTACTGAATTTAATCTAGGATCAGATGTTCCTGATCCAGCACTGGTTCATAAAGGCACTTCTTGTGCCGAAGGAAAAGTAAGAGTCTCCTGCAGCTTATAAATGTGTAGTCTGTCAGGATCGGAACTTATTTATTGAACAAGTCATTGGCTGAGTTTGCACTTTGCACTGAGCCACAATTTGTTACATCATGATTTACACCCAGCAGTGGCTGTGTATTCTCTTTATGCTAAGCCAGAATAAAAGAAACCATGTTATTGCTTAGTATAAGACTTTGTACAGCAGTGTTTCTGAACCTTGGCCACTTTAAGATGTGTGGACTACAACTCCCTTGCTGGCTGGGGAATTCTGAGAGTTGAAGCCCACACATCTTACAGTGATCAAGGTTCAGAAACACTGTAGCACAGGACTGAGCAAACTTTTCCAGCTGAGCAGCTGTACCTCCTCTTCCTGCCCTGCTGGGAGTTGTAGTAGGCATATCAGCAACATTATTACCTCTCCAAAGAAGTGGAGGCTCAAATATTTGGGTTTCAGGGAAAAGTACATTAAAATCACTACTTTAGGTAACAGTAGCCCAATTAATGGAGTTTGGGGAGATTTTATTCATTCATTCATCCATTCATTCAGTTTTTAACGGTATATTAGCACTGAAACTCTGTAAGGCTTAAGGTACCCATGTTAACCCTTTAATGTCTCACAAAAAAAGACCAACAACACCAAAGAAAATATCCTCTGAAATGTATAGCCCTCTCCACATGGTTCTGGAGGCTGAAGGGCTACTTCTGTTGTATTCATTGTAGGTTGCCTGTTTCTGCCTTAGTATGTTGTACAAAGCTGTCCAATGTCCTTTGTAAACTGTGTCTATAGCATAATGTTACACTAGTAGATGGGGACACAAGTAGTGACCCATGTATAATAACATAATCATGGAAACATTGAAATTTTACTTGTAGATGTGACACGAGTACATAATTGTGGTGTTTGCATGTTGACATTATTGTACAGGGGGCATCATTTGTCATCACTGTGTTGTCTTGGGGATGTTGCTAGTTAAACAACAGATTAAGCTTAAAAGAACCAACAGTATATTACATCATTTGGGACTTGGTCCATGCTTAATTTTAAACTGTAAGCCATAGGTTCTAAATCAGAGTGGCTAGATTCATACCTTGTATTAAGCTGAAACCAGACAATTATATTGTTGCATAGCATGATGGCAGAGCTGTAAGATTCAGCTTGCTTCCATTTCCAACATCATCATTTTAGGCTTAGGTTTATCCATTTTTTTCTGACCATGTTCTTTAAGAGGCCACAATTCAATATTGTATAACTGTCAAAAGCACAGAAACCCACAGAAAAGAAAAGGCAGGTTATTTATATATTATAACCTGTACAACCTGAATTATTGCTCACTCTGGTATTCTTTTATGCAATCTTTTACATAAGAGACTGCATAAAATTTTACATTTACCTCAGTTTTCGTCTTGTGAATTGGATTTATACACACTGAGGCGGCACAAGAGTGCAAAAGAAAGGGAGGGTTGTGCCTGAGGCCTGCTGGGTCCCACAAGCATCATGTTAAATTGCGGTTTAGGGTTACTCTTGAACCTGCTGACAGTCTCTGCTTAGCAGCTTTGTACATTTGCAGATGAGGCATGCTTTCAAAGACCATTCTAAAAACTTACTTTACTTTTTCCCTCCTTTTAAGGCCTGTATTGATTATAAGTGTATGAATGCAAGCTTGCTTGGTTACAACTGTGACATAAAGAAAAAGTGTAATGGCCGGGCGGTAAGTTAAAATATTATTACAATAATACTGTTCAATACAGGACAAAAATAATTATAACCAAATATCTTGGCATATAGTAGTTCAACTATTGAATATGTATCATTGTTTTCTTTAAAAAAGCTAAGTGGAGTCTTAGCAGTATTGTAGTAGTACTTTGTAATATTTCTACCCATTTATTCATGGGACATTGTATCACAACCTAAGTACTACCTCATCCAAAGAACATATATGTTGGTCTCATGTATTGCTAGCATCTTACTCAAGGAAGTTGCATTGCAAGAAACGTAGGCATCCATAGCAACCAGAAGTTTTGTCAAATGAGAAAACATGGGCTGTGACATCACAACTCAAGTCCCACCCCTTATGGGCTTGCACGCAATATCCAAATACAAGTACAAAAGGGGTGGAGTCTGCATTGCAAAGTTAACACACATGCTTTGTCATTTGCTTCCCTTTCTTTCCCTTTGGGCACCCATGGCAAGATAAAATGTTTAAATCTTGCTCTTTTTCTCAAAGAAATAAATGCTGCTTTTCAGGTAGGTTAAATATGCCAAGTGCAGAAATAATGTGAAAGCTAATCATACAGGAAACAAACCCCATGGGAAAATCACTTCCCACATCGTCATAGGAAATCACACTGATATCATCTCTAGTCACGAACAAAACAAGAGCTGGATGGAAGCCAGCATATCAGTGGTGAGCTGGAGCTGATTCGTATTGACTCAAGCCGATTGTTAAATTTTCTGGAATTTTGCAAGCCAGTTGAGAGCAGAGCAGAGCAGAGCTCCAATGCTTGGCACGCTGGCCATCTGTTTGGCAGCTGGTAGTGTGGCGCGGCAACAGCAATGGAGCCAGCAGAGCTGGTTGTTAAATATTTACCAGCGCACCACTGTTTCCCATCCAAAAGAGATGAGCCTATAGTGGGGTGCATAGCATAGGTGGGAGAAACAGTGCAAAAATTGAACACGGAGTTCACTATTACATAGGCCTCGTTTTTGATACACAGCAATCAATAGAATTTTTTTGTAATGGCTTCTGAGTTCTTTTACAATAAAATTTCTTAAGAGAAATTCATGGATTCTTGCATGCCAGTTTAACTGGTTCCAGTCCACCTGTTGGGGGAGGAACATAAAACTTTAACCCTAATATTATTCTAATTTCTATAACTTCTTCAAAAGTTCTAATTTCGTCATTTTGTTTCTTTTTTTCTCTGTAGGTATGTAACAACAAAGGCAATTGCCACTGTGATCCTGGGTGGGCACCTCCTTTTTGTGACAAATCAGGCTATGGTGGCAGCATAGATAGTGGTCCAACTCATATAGGTATCAAGAATTATTCCTTCTTTCATTCTACATGATATGGCTCACTTTTGAAAACTAGTTAATTTTGCACTTTCTAAGGTAGCCTTATGTCCTATTGGACAAAGGTCACTTTCATCTGGAGACATCTTCTATTTATCCAGAAAAAATCTAGTTTAAAAATGAAGACCAGGAACAAGAAGCAGCGTGGTGTTGCCTATTTTGGTGTGATATATTTTATTCCTATTGAAATTAATTATTTTTAAAATCTAGATCTATAGATTAGCATATGCCCATTTTAGATGTTTGGGTCTTTTATTTTATGAAGATGTGGAATATAATGTGGAATATAATCATATAATTATAAGATGTGGAATATAATCATATAATGCTTATTTTCTTTCTTAGATACATCCCTTTGAGATGGCTTTCTGATTTTTTTTTATTTGTGTTGCTTCTCCTTTTTTTGGTAAAAGTTTTATATGCAGTATATAGTAGTGCTTAAAAGTTTATGAACTGTTCTGAATTTTCAATATTTCTGCATAAATATGACCTAAAACGTGATCTCTTCTTCACACAAGTGCTAAAACTAGATAAAGAGAACCCAACTGAGCAAAGGAGTCAGACATTGTATTTGTTCATTTATTTATTGAGAAAAATTATCCAAAGCTACATATTTTACTTGATGAGAAGTGAATCCATCCTTCTTGTAGCACCACTGTCCAAATTCTACATTTAAAAACAAATCATATAATGCTTATTTTCTTTCTTAGATACATCCCTTCGAGATGGCCTTCTGATATTTTTTTTACTTGTGTTGCCTATATTAATTCTACTTGCAATTTCAATTATCAAGAGGAAAGCAATTAAAAGGCGTCTCTGCAGAGAACGTAGAAGACATTACAGGTATGAAATACATGCAATGAATAATATAGAGAATGGAACACATCTATAGCAAGGTTAAGTCAAAAATTCAAAATAGAAATGGAGATATCATTTGTAGTTTTAGTGACTTTAAAAGGCAAACTAAATGCGAATATTGTGGTGCAGGCCATTCAGAAGTAAACTTCACTGAATTCTCTGGAACCTGTTAAATAAATAGTGTAGAAGGGTGAAAGCCTTTTGAAATGACATGATTATCTTACATGATTATCTATAGATGACAATGGGAGCAAGATTTGTAAGAGGTTTTAAGGAAGGGTAGGAGTGAGGCATGGAAAAGCAGATGGAGATCTGGAAAAATAATATAATCCTTTTGATGATTTTTATCCTGGTATTGGCAAGCCTGAAGAAGGAAGTTCTGTTCAAGGTTTTAAATTAAACTGTGTCCAGATAGGAGATATAGGTAAGAGATATTATTTTCCTAAACCTGAAATCTATGATATTCAGGCAATTGATTGCCCCTTATCAGAGCTCAGTTGATCTCCAAGACCTACATAGTAGCTTGCAATGTAATGCTTTGGCTTTTCAGATTTTTAAGAAAAATGTCAACCATTCTTACAAAAAAAAATTAGGGCGTAACCTCTAGTAGTATTAGCCACAGAGTCAGCATGAGTGAGAAGGAGGACTTCTCACTGCTTCAGTTGGGTAGTTCTCCAAGAATGGTCAGTCTGTCTCAAATCCTGATTTTGTTACTGATTCTACAAATTATCATTCCCTCTAATATGTACTATAATCATTTCAGTAGAAAAACATATTTGCTGAATTTTTTTTCTTAAGGAGCATTTTATGTTATTGGTAGTGCTTCCTACTAAAGCAGCTCTTTGCTTTGCTTTTCCCTGATCCATTTTGATTTTTCAATCCTGGACTAGCTAACCAACTATATAAGGTGCTCCTGAGGCAGAATCATAGATTTGGAAGAGTAATTTAGGGCACAGAATCCAGTCCCACTACTAGCCTGCTCAATGGAGGAATCTCAGTCCAAACATTTTCAATAGATGGCTGTCTAGCCATTGAAAAGGAGCTTACCAACTTCTTGGTATTTTCTGTATTTAAGTTGCTGTTATTGTGAGGAAGTTTTTTTCCTGACATTCGATCGGAATCTGCTTTTCTGTAATTTAAATCCACTATTCCATGGTGTTCACTCTGGGGTGATAGAGAAAATGTCAGGCCCTTCTTCTACATTACATCTTTCAAGAGTTGAAGAGTGCATCATAATTTTCTTCAGCTGGCTTATCTGAAGACTAAACATTTCCAGTTCCTTTGATCTTTCTTCACAGGGCTTGTTTCTAGTTCCCTGATCATCTTCATGGCTCTTCTCTGAACCTGTTCACTTGAACCTTTTCTAAAGAGTGTTACCTAGTTTCACATTTACTAGCTGGGAAATTCCTGACTTTACAATAAACAAAAAGAAACCCAAAGACAAAACTGAACATAGGAACTTAAACATTGTAATATTCTAAAATTGTACCAGAGCCAAACTTAGTCTGATAGATTGTTGGGGAATCTGCTTAACCCATTTTTTCCAGTTAGTCAGAAACCAACCAACAGCTGAAATATGCTTTGAGTTGGTCATTTCTGTCATCCCAGAATGTTGTCTTTCAGGAGAAGACAAAATTTACATGCAAGCAAGTTGGTTACATACATCATCTGCACCCCTTCTGATATACCTTATTTAGAGTATGCAGCATTTCCCAAGCAGGAATTGGTTGATTAGCAAAAACCCACTTCACAGTTATTGTGAATAACATAAAGTCAGCGCTTTGTTCTTATCAATAATTTGCTCCTTCCAGTACATTGTGCACTCTCTCTGCTTCCACAATGGCTTTTAGCAAAACCTTTTTCTCTGGAAGTTTCTCTTCTTGGTTTTTAGCTATGTCTGATAATATCTGCTGATTTGGAGATCCTGCAAGGCGAGAATTTATGTTTATGTAATTTTTAACTACTTGTTTGAATTGGCTCTCTAAGGGCTGAAAATGCACAGCAAAGGAGACTACCGCCCGCAAAACAGAATAATGCTCCGAGTGAACCAAATCCACCAGAGGCAATGAATAGAAGGCGGGTAAGAATGTATTTTCAATCATAATGTCTCCTTTTGAGTATTTTCTACCAGGGAAGGTTTTCTAGTGCAAAATATCTCCTGTGTGTTTATTTTTATTTTTTGCTTTTAGTTAATTATTTTCCATTCAGAAGTTCAGTTTGCAGAATTTAAATCAGTTATATTACAATAGTATTTTGCTGAATTGTAACATAAATATGATTCTTTTCCCTTCCTTCCTTCCTTCCTTCCTTCCTTCCTTCCTTCCTTCCTTCCTTCCTTC